GCTTGGAATGCCTTTAAAACTACTGGTACAGCTGTTCGGAAGGTTGGTGGTGGCCGTCCAAGGAAAACAACACCAAGAGATGACCGTTACATTGTCCTCCAGGCGAAAAGAAACCGTTTTCAGTCAGCGAGCGCCATATCTCAGCAAATGTGCACAGCCACGGGACAACAAGTATCAAGATTTACAGTGGCCAGACGCCTCCACAAAGGTGGCTTATTTGCTAGACGTCCTGAACGCTGCATAACTTTAAAGGTTAGCCATTGGCGGCACCGTTTAGAGTGGTGCAGAGAACACGAAATATGGACAACTCATCAATGGAGTCGCGTCCTCTTCACAGATGAGAGTCGTTTTAGTGCTACAAGCGATTCTCAACGCAGTTGATCTGGAGAGTGATTGGAGCTCGATTTCATCCTAATAACATCGCGGAAAGAGATCGTTACAGTGGTCCTGGAGTTGTCGTCTGGGGTGGTATTATGTTAAACGGGCGGACTGAGCTTCAGATCTTCGACCGAGGTTCTGTAACTCGAGACCGTTACTGCAATGAGGTAATCCTACCCCATGTGCGTCTGTTCCGAGGGGCCATTGGACCAGACTTCATTTTTATGGATGACAATGCCCGGCCACACCGTACTGCTAATGTTCAAGAGCTACTGGAAAGTGAAGATATCACACGAATGGATTGGCCAGCTTACTCTCCAGATCTAAATCCCATAGAGCATGTGTGGGATGCATTAGGGAGACGTCTAGCGACACGACAGTATCCTGTGACATCGAGTCACAAGCTTTGGCTTAATTCCTGCTCCTAATCATACATCACCCCTAATACCTTTTTGCAATTTGGTCAGTTCCCCTCGTGCATTCCATACTCCCAGATTCTCGGAGAACATCTGGTTTTTTAAGGTTGGCGGCCTTCTTTGAAATATATCGGACTCCTAGCCATCGATGCATTTCGATATTTCATATACCCATAGTCTACGTCGCTCCCCAGTGGGGTTTTAATTTTATTTCCTTCCTCGTGAGGAGGTGGGGATGGCGTCTACGTCACCATTGATGTTTTTGAATCAACCTTTTAGTCATTATCCAGTTATTTTTGCCTAGAAGGAAACTACGGCGTATTTTTCTCACCATAAGGTTTGCGTAATGGATGTTTTCAAGCGTCGGCGTTGGTTACATCTTCAAATAACTTTTGAAATTTTATTTGACTCCCATCATTCTGTTTTTTGAGATGTGGTGTCCGCCATTTACACGACTCCAGGGTTGACGAAGTTTCGTGTGCCTTCATACTTTCTCTGTTTAAACAGAACTTTTGTTCAACAGATTCGATTTTCTAACCCCCGTAATATAGGGGTTAGCCGTAATCTGGGAAATATGGTCCCTATTGTTTGGTCTGGTGAGCGATCCATAGTTTCGATCTCCAAATGTTAATTTTATTTTTTCGTATTTCTCCACAGCTTGAGAGCTTTTCAAGGGATTTGAACAATTTTTTAGCATGATTATAAAATTCCAAAGATAATTCCATGCAAAAAATAACTTTTACAAAATATTTATTATTCTTTGTTTAATAATAGTCTGAAAAATTTTGAATATAACGTATACAGTTTTTGATCATTTTTAAGTATCTAATTTCACATGGAGAAATCCAAAATTGAACGAAATTGGATGAATAGTTCCTGAGTTTTATATATACGACTCTTCTAAAATCTAACTTCTCAGGATGAATCGATTTTGCTCAAATTTTGCTATGTGGAAAACTTACAATATTTAATAATCTAATTTATATGTGAACAAGAAACTTGTTTTCATAAATATATTCGCCAACGTAATGCATAAATAGCTAAAATGACGGTTAGAGATGGAGTACAGAAAGTTTTTGAAAGGGCCCTGGCCAAAAATGTTTGGCCCAGCTCCCCAAGGGATGATTGCTCGCCAACTTTCTCAATTTTATGCATTTACATTCGATTAATTACAATTCCTTATCACATGCCTCGCATTGTAGTCGCCAGCTACAATTGTGCCATAACCACCAGAGAATAATCCTTGTAGTTGAGCTTCAGTAATGGTAAGAGTTGGTGCATATAGGTCAACTATTTTAATAGTTTCACTGTTATAATTTAATAGGATAGAAACATATCCATACCATTTTTGTTTGAGAGGTGAAACTCACTCTGACTAATATGGCTCTTTTCTAGGATCGCCACTGTTTCTCTATATCTTCTGTCACATCGATAAGTCTAATTGAAAACGTTCAAGTGGGTTTTTTTACAGTTATATTATTCATGAGTAATGGATCTCAGAATTTTCAGCAAGTCAATTAAGCTTTCTTTTTTCAATTGTACTCACAACATTTCTGAGCTCTGTCATAACCGATCTAGCTTTATCTACATTAGTAGTTTGCCTTTTTCTAGCACTCTTTGCCCCATGGGGGCCTTATAGAAGGTCCTCTTAGTGTGCTCTACTCCCTGTCCTTTAAACTAGACTTTAGGATATTTTGGACAGTTCTTGTAGTTTTAGGGATGCTCACCTCCACAGTTTGCAAACTTAGCAGGGACGTTTCTGCTCTTATCACACACATGAGTTAAGCGCAACTCACCACACTTCAAACATTACACCTCATGATTACAAGATTCCTGTGCATTATTATATCCCTGCACCTATAAGCACATGAATGGATGGTGTTTTCTACATTAGGGAACGCTGCAAGCTCTGTACTGCCTAAATTTCCGGGTTACTGTTTCCGTTGCATTTTAAAGCCATTTGGCATCATTGTGTTTTTGGATTCTTGCAAGCAATGTATTTGATTACTTGTGTTTACAATGCTAACAATACTAGTGTTTACTATGCTAAAAGTGTTAATACTAACGTAAGATGGTGCACAGCTTACAACAAGAACAAATAGTAATAAACTTATGAAAAGAGGCCATATCAAGACTGCCAAAAAAGCGAGTTATTCAAATCTAGCAACCATGTCACCTTTTCTAACAATATATCTCTAAAAAACTAAAACAAATCACTTCCAACTCACCAGAATTACATATTAACATTAATATCTTATGAAATATGGCAGATTTGAGCTCAGAAATTATCTAATTTATTTCTTTTATTGAAAACAAAATTATCCGTTTGAAAACTTCGCCTATCAGAATAACATGTAGTAAGCAGCTACAAACTTCTTAACCGAAACTAGAGTAGGTGCCGATCTGGAGATTGTTATTGTTTACATTTCTATTGAAAACACCATCCATAGCGAGCTTTAGCAAGCAATAACAATAGGCTTAGATATTACAGTTCTAGTGACAACGAAAAAAATGACAAGAGAAAAAAACTATTAATCAAAAGCTCTAGCGTACATTTCAAACATATAAAAAGTTATTCATAAGAAATACAAACAAAATACAAAAAAACAACAAACACAATACATTTCGTTTGATACAACAAATACCGTCCATCATATCCCTCTCAAAATTCAGCTGCAGCTATTCAGTCAAAACTTGCCGTGAAAATAGCCATACCGCTTCCCAATTTCAGAAGCCGCAGTCTGCACATTTGTAGGGTTAACGTAATAATATCGCGGCTGCTAAGACAGTTCTTTCCCAAAAAGTCAAGAGCCCCTACTGCATCTTCTTAATCTATAAAAGCTACAAGCAAATACATAAAGCCTAAACCTTCAAATCGTGACGAGCACCTATAGCAACAAATAATCAGTATTCAAAATTTTGGTTTTTATCACGATGAAATGAATTAAATAGTTTAAAAAACTATATAATTGTCGATAAGTATTTATGTAATGTAATTGTAATTAAATTTATAGCTGATTTTATGAAGTAATGATTTTGGAATTAGGTCCCAAAGCGAAATAGTATAGAAATAAACCCTCCTCCATCCAGGAAGAGAGTGTTGTTTTTCTCTGATTGCTTCGGTAAGGAATGTGAATGAAGAAAGGTAAAATTATGTTATATTGCAGTGAAACCCTTAGGGAAGGGTATTTGTAAGTGGCTTTTGTTTAGAGAGCTATTTTTGACTATCTCTAAAAGATATCAAGGACCTCATGTTGCAGTCAAGAGTACACTAAAAACTATGCTATCGATTATTAATTTTTAGAGTGGATAGTTAAATTAGAAAAAAGTCATTTAAGATTAAACAAACCTCTTCTCTTGTCTTAGTACAGTAAATTAATTTTTATATTACGAAGTAAAAGCTAAAAGCAAATCTAAATCATAATTGTTTATTAGAACAAATTGTTAAACCAAAAACATAATTGTTTATTTATTTAAATAGTTCTATCTTTTATTATTTATACATTTTTTTGTGCATAATTATGTTGTAGAATCAAAAAGTTCCCAGAGTAGGTCAATTACAAATTAAAAATTAAGCAATAATTTTATTTCTTCAAAGTACTTTCCTCCTGTATTCGCACACTTTTTCTGACATTACTTATCAATTTAATGCATACATCGCTTTGGTTGCTTGCAAGAATCAGAAATGTAATTTAAGCGGTTTAACTTAATTTAAGCTATTTTATAAGAGTACGCTAACAGCATAACGATTTAACTTTTGAGGATCTTATTCCATGCTAACGTTGTTGCTACACTGATGAAGGCGATTTTGATTTCGTCTTCGCTAATGAATTTTATAACAGATTATGTGAGTAATTTGTCAAATCAATCCGACAAGAATACTGCAATTACTTGTCAAATAATTGATCCCAATCATTTTGTTTCCCTCCATCAGTAGAGACGATTGAAATTCATTTGGTACTGTCAATTAAATTTGAGAAGAACTCATATTTCTCCAGTACTAAGTACATCACCCATGTTGGCTTCTATTTTGTTTCAATAAATATATATATATTCATTCAGAGCAAACATGGTTCTGCTTTTATGTAGAAATAATTTACATTTTGGTTTAACACTCAATTAATAGTTGACTTAGCTATGTCACTTAATGAAAGTTTGACTAATTATCTATCGCAAATTTATTTAACCTTTAAGGTTCTAATAAAGGTCCAAAAGTTCTTTTTGAAATCCTTAAGTCTTGCCATAACTGCATTATTTTAATTGAAAGTCTGTGTTGGATCACATTGCGAATTTTAATCATATTCTTATCGCAAAAAAACAAAATTTTATTAACTTATTATCCTGAATTAAAATTTGTGGTCAATTAATATAGTGACATATTTTGGGCTAAGAATTTGGTTTTTAACTGCACTTAAAGGGCAAAACTGGAAAATTTATCTGATGTCTACTGGCCACTGGAGGCAACTTAATTGGTGGCTATAAATTTGCCTGTAGTGGCAAATTTCGTAATAAAGGTAGGCAAAGTCATCTTTGATTCACATTTTTCTATGATAAAAAAAGTTTTTTTTTTTTGACAAATAAATAATCTATTTATGAGTGCTTAGTTATTATTTTGTTAATGCTTAATATGTTGCTATTCATATAAAACAGAAACTTTATAGCTAAAACAGAAATATTTGCTTTATACTTCGCATTTTGTGGTTCTTGAAAATAACCTCGAATAATAGCTACAAAAACATTATCTAACATCTTAAAATTTGTTTTTACTGCCTTAATGAATGGTTGAAGAAAGAAATTTTTATTACTTATTAATAAGACTTTTATATTTACTTATTATTCATTAATGAACAGTGTGCTGTCAGAGCTTTTTCCGAACATTACATTTTACATTTCTTTCCTTTTGCTTTCAGATCTCTCTGCATCCATGAGTATTTCCATCATTCATTCAACAGAGAAACATTCTCAAAAATTTCAACACCAGTGAAAGTGTAATAAGTTAATTTTGTTACACACAAATAATACAAAGTGGAACAATATCTGTCTCAATGAGCAACAATTTACTTCTACTTGATGTTCATGCTGATGAAAAACCTTTTTCTTGTGAAGTATGTAATAAGAGGTTTTGGCAGAAGCAAGATTTAGATGCTCACAGACATGTTCATACTAGTGAGAAACCTTATTCTTGTAGTATATGTAATAAGAATTTTTCAAGTAAGAGTAATCTGACTTGGCACAGCCGTGTTCATACTGGTGAGAAACCTTATTCTTGTAGTATATGTAATAAGAGTTTTTCAAGGAAGGGTAATCTAATTACACACAGTCTCACTCATACTGGTGAGAAACCTTATCCATGTAGTATATGTAATAGAAGATTTTTGCAAAAGATACATCTAAATAATCACAGTCTCACTCATACTGGTGAGAAACCTTATTCTTGTAGTATATGTAATAAGAAATTTTTAAAGAAGATACATCTAAATAAGCACAGTCTCTCTGATACTGCCGAGAAACCTTATTCTTGTTGTTTATGTAATAAGAATTTTTCCAGGAAGGATTATCTAATTACACACAGTCGCACTCATACAGATGAGAAACCTTATTCTTGTAGTATATGTCATAAGAATTTTTCAAGAAAGAGTAATCTGACTTCGCACAGCCGTGTTCATACTGATGAGAAACCTTATTCTTGTAGTATATGTAATAAGAGTTTTTCAAGTAAGGCTAATCTAATTACACACAGTCTCAATCATACTGGTGAGAAACCTTATCCATGTAGTATATGTAATAGAAGATTTTTGCAAAAGATACATCTAAATAATCACAGTCTCGCTCATACTGGTGAGAAACCTTATTCTTGTTGTGTATGTAATAAGAATTTTTCCAGGAAGGATTGTCTAATTACACACAGTCGCACTCATACTGGTGAGAAACCTTATTCATGTAGTATATGTAACAGAAGATTTTTGCAAAAGATACATCTAAATAATCACAGTCTCACTCATACTGGTGAGAAACCTTATTCTTGTAGTATATGTAATAAGAAATTTTTGCAGAAGATACATCTAAATAAGCACAGTCTCTCTGATACTGCCGAGAAACCTTATTCTTGTTGTATATGTAAAAAGAATTTTTCAAGGAAGGATAATCTAATTACACACAGTCGCTCTCATACTGGTGAGAAACCTTATTCTTGTCGTGTATGTAATAAGAATTTTTCCAGGAAGGATTATTTAATTACACACAGTCGCACTCATACAGATGAGAAGCCTTATTCTTGTACTATATGTAATAAGAATTTTTCAAGGAAGGGTAATCTAATTACACACAATCGCTCTCATACTGGTGAGAAACCTTATTCTTGTAGTATATGTCATAAGAGTTTTCCATATAGTTTTGATCTAACTAGACACAGTCGCATTCATACTGGTGAGAAACCTTATTCTTGTTTTATATGTAATAAGAGTTTCTTGTATAGGCATGATCTAACTAAACACATTCGCGCACATACTGGTGAGCAACCATATTCTTGTAGTATATGTAATAAGAATTTTTCATATAAGTGTGATCTGACTAAACACAATTGCACTCATATTGGTGAAAAACCTTGATCTTGTTATTTATGTAGTAATTTATTTTTTGTGTGAATTTTTTCATTTTTACAGTGGCGTAAGTGTGCTTACTTTTGAGTAATTCAAACTTTTTAGTGAGTGTAATAAAAAGTTTTTCAAATAAAGTGAACAAGCCTTTCAGTTATTTTCATTGTGGTTTTAAAATTCATTCTTGCACTGCTTAGTCAATTTAGGTCTCTCCACTACACATTCTTGAGGTTTGTGGTTTCTACATCATAATTTTTTTAAACCAGTTCTTCAATCCACTTTTATTTCATTGCTTCATTTTTAGAACACACCCCTATCTTTTCTGGAGTTTGGTTATCCTAAACTTAATTTGTTCACCCCCATCCTCCCTCTGATATCAACAAACAATGATAGTAGGTAAGATTGATTCTACAATTGACAATGACAACCTGTTTAGTCCTTTCCTACCTACTGTAGATATAAGGGTGATTCTTTGGAAACATGACAATTTGGAAATAATCTAATTGAAGTGTGATAATCATACTTTAAAATAATCTAATTTGTTTTTGTATATTTCTTTAGCTGTATTTATTAATATCTTACAGACAGCAGTGCAGTTTACTAGCATTTTGAATGCCAGGAAAATGACATATTAGCTTAGAAGTTTGAAAAAAACAGTAATTTTAAGCTATTAGTAAGTAACAAAACCTATGGTTCATGAATAACTTAAATTAATTCTTTTATCTACTGTAGAAAGAGTCAAAAAAAAATTTGTTGCTGATATGTGCAGAATAAAATTGTGTAAATTAATGAATCATTAAATAAATAAATAACATTGATTACATTCAATCTTATTACAATCATACATAAACTTGGTATTAGTTTAATATTTGTTTTTTCTCTTTACAATATTGGCAGTTGAAAAAAAATTCTGGTAACACTTCAATGTCCTGGCATTCATAAGCTAGGATAATGACAAATTCGCCATTTTATAGCATATTACTTTAACATTTTGTTCCTAAGACGTTTATATTCTGCAGAAAGCAACAGGATTTCCTAAAATAACTCTGTGTAGTTTTTGTTAATTATGATTTCAAGAAGACAACACAAAAACCTACTCACCTTGAAACATTTTTTGAAATAGATTTTGAACCAGAAAGTTTGTTCTTTATTCATGCAACAAGACATGTTCAAATAAAAAAAAATTAGATATTGAAAAATTTATGTGAAGTTTTGAAGCTAGTTATTATTGGAAATATTGTTTTAGACATACCAGAAACATAAAATTTTGAAATTCATTAAAAGTTTTTAACTACACAAAACAGTCAGTGCTAGTGCAGTCATTTTAAAATGCAAACAGCAATGCTATTTAATAATTTTTTAAAACAAAAAAGTTCTTTTAGTAGTATAGTATTAGATCTTGGAGCAAGGGAGTGGGAATTGTCATATTTCTTGAGAATCACCCATAAACTCTTTCAAATATGGTTGATTTTTTTGTTGAACTTGAATTGTTCTCACCCATTCTCCCTCTGATATCAATAAACAATGATAGGTGGTGGTTGGTTGACAAGAATGAATACCTCATTCATGAAACTTCATTTTCGATTTTTCTTTAATTGATTTTTAAAACTAAAATTTAAAAAGGACTTTTCTAGGAGACTAACTTTTCAACATGTTATTTAACTACTAATTATAACAGAGAGATCCCTTAAAGTCAAAATGATCGTTTTTTTTTAGTTAAAATTGAATCAAATGATAACATTTTATTTTAGCTAAAACTGGAAAGTTGTTGTTAATTTACGTCGCACTAGAGCTGCACTATGGGTTATTGGCGACGGTCTGCGAAACATCCCGGAGGATGATCCGAAGACATGCCATCACAATTTTGATCCTCAACGGAGGGGATGGCACCCCCGCTTCGGTAGCCCGACGACCTGCGCGCGAAGTCGAGCACTTTACGGTAGCACAGTTTAACGAGGACCCATACCGCACACCCTCGGTCCCTACGCAGACTGATCCAAGTGGTCACCCACCCGCACACTGACCGCAGCCAGTGATGCTTGACTTCGGTGATCTGCTGGGAACCGTGTCTTAACGATCAGTCCACTGCGGGACTAAAACTGGAAAGCAATTATAATGTATATATCCATTTAATATTTCAATTAAAAATAACAATACTAATTAACCTATCGATTAATTTTTTTTTATTTATAGTTTGTTACATAAAATTGAAGTAATTTAATTTGGAAAAAAAAATTTCTTAAATATTTTGCTAAATTTGATTTTTTAATTGATAAATACAAAAATACTCATCTATGACCCACATCACTGAAAATTAGTGAAGTATGTCTATGAGAGATGAGCTTTTTATTTTATATTGCAAGAAAAAAAATTTCACAATAATAACTGAAGCTGATTCTTAAAATTTTACAACTTTTGTTAGCCCTTGACAGCAAGGCCTCATTTACGTAAAAGCTATAGCTTGGGGCCCCGAGATTGCAAGGGCCCCCAGATCCCTCTTTTTCTAAAGTTTTATTCGAAGCTAGGGCCCTCTAAAGCAGTGTTTCCCAAAGTGTGGTACACGTACCCCCTTGGGTACGGGAATAGTTTAGCGGGGGTACGCGTTCGTATGCGAAATATCTTGCAACAAACGAAAATTTTTTTAAACGTTTTATTTAAAAACAAAGCTAGCCATGAAAATTTACGATTGCGTATTTTTCTATTGACTATTTTTTGCAGAATTAACAGTTAATAATTAGTGGTGTCAACAGCCGGCTGTGATTTTTCACTTTTGTACAATTTCTTATAGTAAAAAATACATTCATTTTTGTATTGGTTCACAGGGTTACGAAAAATTTATAAAGGGTACACAAAAGTCATAAGTTTGGGAAACACTGCTCTAATGCATTGTCGGGCGCTTTTCAAAACCTTAGTGTTTATAAATAAAAAAAAAATAATTGTTTCTCTTCACTTTTCTAACC